TTTAAGTCTTCATTTTCAGACATTAAAAACAACATTTACAGCTCTCTGCCTTTGTTTCCAAGTGAATGTGAAGCTGCTTCTGAGCAGAAAAGGAAAATCTGGGTCACTCCTTGGAAAAGTCCTGAGAACAAGAGCTGCATTGAGACCAGCGTCGCCTGCCAGAAACCAAAAGGCAGCAGCAGAATCTGGGCTGGTACGCTCTGATGATGATAATGATGATGATGCAGCAGAGGCTCCTGCACATCAGAAAGCTGACCTCTCTGTGGTTAATTCAGATTGTGGTTAGGCATCACAGAAGCAACTCTGTTTGAGTTCAGATTGGTGCCGTCCTTTTGGGTTTGTCCAAATATCTGAAAAACTAGAGACACTCCAGTCAGCCTCAGCTTTACTTTATGCTCCGTGCTAATAAAAAATGCTAATGAGAAAACAGATTATTAGCATGTTACACCATTTTCACCAGTTCCTCTGAACATCTAAGTTCAAAGTAAAAAGTTCGAAGTGAAATGTTCATTACATTTGACATAAAAGCACCAAAAAGTAAAAACAAACAAACAAACAAAAAAACTGACAGATAATTAATATATTGAGTATTTAACACTCAGGAATATCATTTATTAATATTTGAGCACCAAAGCTATTTTTAGCTAACAGTTTACTTGCTAGCTAGGATAACTCAGCAAACATTTTTCTGTTGTTTTTCTTTGTTTGTGTTTAAGCAGTGCCTCAGTCACACCTAGAGACCGGTCAGCGACCGCCTGGCAACCTCCAGTCTATTCAATTTGATTCATTTTATCTATATAGTCTCCTAAAGGGGCTTTATATTCTAAGGTAAAGACCCCACAATGAAACGGCCCCTAGGTTGCTGAAGGGCGCCAACAACTTCCTTGTGATTGCATTGGTCATTAGAGGAAGGTTGCCATGGTTGCCAATAGTTAGCGTTAAATACAGATTTTACACTCTAAGCTTTAGTGAATCTTTAAAAAAGTGTGACTTAAAAAACTGAACATTCGCCCTCACAGTAAAAGTTGTGGCTTACTGCAAAAACCCACACACACATAAAAAAAAAAAAGGCAGCTCTTACTTTGAAGGTCAATGATTCCTGATTTACAGTTTGCGTTATCAGTGTCACTACTGCTTGGCGAGTCATAACAACTCGGCATCTTTCACACAAACTGCAGGTGACCGCAGCTATCAGTTAGCGACCAAGTCAATCGCGAGGATGTTTTTAGTGCACCACCAAATACATCTTTGCGACCATTTTCACGCCACCAACCCCGTTAAAGTATATACACAGTTTTGGGACAGAGCTACAGTTTCCCTAGCGACCAGTGGTTGGCAAGCAGTCTGTAGGCCTGTGGCCTAATGCACTTGACCTACATCTAAAAAAAAAAAAAAAAAGGCAAACCAGTTAACGTCACAGGGGGCGCTGTCTTGCACAATGTGCAGAAGAGAGACCTCTAGTGGTAGAAAGCTGTACATGCTCCTCAGCTAAAAAGACAAAAACAAAGGAAAAATACATTTAAAAGTTTATCTTCTTGTACATTAAAAAATATATGTATATATCCATTTCTGAACACACATACAAAATGAAAATTCTTGCTGTATATAACATATTATCCTATCTTATAATGAAACAGAAGCTAAACGCAGCAGGAATAAAGAACAGACTGTGGTTTCTCTCTTGCAGCAGAGAAACTTTCCCCTGATCGGGTTTCACTTCCTGCAATCTCTAACCTAAACATCAGACCTGTCTGCAGCCTCAGAGTCTGCCTCTACAGGTTCATTTCAAGGGGGGCTAGGGGCCAACAGAAGCTCTTAAAAGGACCTCTGAGGGCCCCTCACAAAAATAAACATCAGGTCAATTATGGTCGTTATTCTGCTACAAGAGGTCGGCTTAGAGAAAGTCTTAAGACTGGTGCTTTGCTTCATTTGTATCAACCATAAAAAGCTCTTTGATTTCAGCTTTCTGGTTAGTCTTTTTGGGGGGAGGGAATAGAGTGAACTTATCCTGTGTCTAATAGTTTTATCTGTGTATTAAATGAATCACTGGGTGTAAATTTAAAACAAATAAGGCCTAAAGACCAACCAGCCTACATGCTTTACACCTTGGAAAGCTGCTGAGTGTTTTGGGGAGTTGCCCTGGTTTTAAAAACTGTGTCACGTTGATTTGATTCGGGTTTTTTCCTCTCTGTTCACTGAGAAATAAAATCAATCCTGAGTTTATATTTGTCTTGTCACATTTAAAGCTCTTCAGCTGCTCTATTAATATGATCATAATTCATTTTGTGCCCGTTTTCGTCCTCTCTCTCCAGTTTTGCGAGTGGCTGAAGTTGCTGATCCGGGACCAGCGAAACGCCATGCTGACAGCACTGCTAGGGCTCCTTTCCATGGCTTATATGGGAATATCCGTCAGCACCGCCCTGCCAGCCTTCCTCATCCCCTTCACCCTGTGGATGGCGAGCTAAGAGCCGCCTAGAGCTGCACTTAATGTCAGCGTTCAAGCCTTACCGCTGGTTCAGAGCTCACTGAGCCGCCATATTGGAAGACCAACAGTGTGAACGTAGTCTTCTGCAAACATTTTAACTTGCTTTTAATTTTTTCAGGGTTTTTTTGTTGTTGTTTTTTTAAAAAGAGGAAAAACTGGAGACGGGTAGTTAACAGAATTAGCAACAGGCTCAAAATTCACCAAAACTCAAAAATGTTGTGTCTCCAACGCAATTTGGTTGACTAATGATGTCTCAAGGTGAAAGGTTATGCTGGTAAAGGAACCAAAGATGACTTATTTATTTTTCTATTGAGACCATACATACGGTTCTGAAGGGTTTATTGACTTGAAAAAAAATTAACTCTTTCCATCTTGACCGTCTTAAAAGTCAGTCGTTTAATTTCCCTCCGTTTGAATGTTCCTTTTAGTACTGTAACCAGGTGAAGCTCGTGTGTAAATGTCTGTAGATAGTCTACATGACCTGATTGTTTCCTAACAGTCACAAGCTTTTGTACAGAATTATTTTTTACCTCTTTGTAACAATGTGCTGTGTCTTATATGTAAATAAAGGAAATGGAAGCAAACATATCTTGTATTCCTTATCAGCCACATAACCACATCGTCAATTCCACCCTTGTTGGAGTCTCCGAGGTTCTTCTGTCAGTCAAGGATGTGAAAGTTAGAAAAACTACTTTCCTTTCGTTAGAATTTTTAAGTCTTGTAAATGATTTTTACCAATGAAATGCAAAAACCTGACAAAGTGAAGAGATTCAACACTGAAACATTTGGGGCTGCATTTCAGTGCCGTTGGAGATTTTGATGAAGTGATGAAAAGTAGCGTCCAACATAAAAACGTGTGATACCATCTGGAAAGCATCTGATTGGCAGCAGCTTCATTTTTCAGCAGAGCAGTGATCCCAAACACACAGACTGCCGGTGCAGTAAAAGCATACCTGGATACAAAAACACACAATGAAACACTATCAGTCATGGATCGGCCTCCCCAGAGTCCAGACTTCAACGTTACTGAAGCAGCGTGGGATCATCTTGACAAAACAGAACGAAAGGCAGGCAGCATCCAAAGAAGAGCTTTGAATGTCCTTCAGGAAGTCTGGAGAACTATTCCTCAAGACTACTTATAAAAACTACAATAGAACATTCAGGCTGTTTGAAGAATAAAGGTGGTCACACCAAATATCCACTTTCAAGCTTGTTAAAATCGTCCCAAGTGTTTTGCTTCATACAACGCTTCTCATGTTTCTCATTATAAACGTAGTCTTCTGTGGATTGGTACACTGTTACCTCCATCTGTTGGTGACATGTGGGAACTACAACTACATGGAAACAATGGCTGCAGCTTATATTATCTGACAGATGGTAAGATTATGTTTCAAATCAAGTTTGAGATTCTGCATCAAGTTTTTAAAGTTTATTTGTGACCAAGGCAAGGATCTTTGATCACATTTAAGACTCTAAAATGTTGTTAGAGATCAACGTCAACAATGTAAAACGTGACTGTAGAGTGTGCTGCTCAAAAAGGCTCTTAAAGGTTCCCAGCAGTTTCTAATCCCCTCTCTGCCCCACCCACCAGCAGAACAAAACCACACCGCAGACAGCTCCGCTTTCCCCTTGGTCTCCTCTCGACATGTTTCCCCTGCCGCTTCTCAGTCTGCTTTTTATCTCAGCCTCGGGATTCGAGCCACCGGCAGAGAAGAAGAAAGAGAAGAAGAGTGAAGAGGGGCCGGAGTGTCATGGAGGGGAGAAGAGGAAGAGTAAATATGACACAATATTCACCAGAGGAGACCTGCTGGAGGTTCCCAGGACTCTCTTCATACACTTCGGGATTTACCTGGGTGGAGGCAGGTAAGGGTGACAGACAGCTAGAATATCAGTGAAACAGTTCAAAGGTTTAAATCCTGTTTTTCCTTCCTTTCTCACCAATGACTCACACTTTCCATTTATTTTTCATGACTCCTTTCCTTTCCACAGAGTAGCTCATTTCATCCCAGACATCATGCCCGTCATCTCCAGTGACCAGTATCGGATCAGTCAGATGGTCTCCAACACCAGACTCCTACTTGGAGTGCTGGCTAAGGTACACCAAGTGGTGCACCAGCTTTTTCTCTCACACCAAATGACAGCAGGTAAAGAATCAGTCGTAAATGAGATCTAACTCGCGTCTTGTGTCTTCAGTGTGGCAGTGTGAGGGTGGACTCAGTAGAGGACTTTGCCTATGGAGCAGACATACGGGTCAACCCTATGGATAAGGTGACATCAGGACAAAACAAACATTTTAACTTCTTTAACATCTTATAATTAAAGTACTTAACACATTATTCTATTATTGATAAATCCTTAGTCTAAATAGTAATACACCCAAAGGCACTTTATTGGTATGAGATGTCATAAAGTTACATTTAAGGATTTTTTATACTATTTTTATGCTAGACTGTGGGCTTAATATACATGAACCCACTCTTGGGTTAATCCAAATTAGTGAGTAAAAAGAGAAACACTTGCCTGTGAAGCAACACCTTTTATAGCTTTAAACTGAGAAAAAGAGAGAACACGATGTTTCCTTTCAAATGTTTCTGGCCACCAAACTGGGAATTAACCTTCTAAATAAATGTTAATCTGAAGGGATTATAGATGTGGCAACAGCTGCAGGCAACGTAGGGTTATACTCTTGTATTTATATGGTGCTTTTCACCAATATTAAGTGCCTTTTTACTACAATTGAGTGCTTTTTTTTTTTTACTACAATTGTGAATATAAAGCACTTTCCTATAATCAAGCACTTAATCACTGTTCTGCTACTACCGAGACCTCAAAGTGCTTTTCTACTACAAGTCCTATTCACACAGTCATACAAACACTTTTTCCTGTGCTTGAGCATTGTATCAAACATTCAAACACACACCCACACAGAGGAAACCTGGGGTTTGGGATCTTGCCCAAACATACTTACATGCGGGCTGCTCTCTTCTGTGTGCAGGTATTAAGCCACGCAGTGCTGAAAGGGGAGGATGTGGCCAGAAGGGCAGAGAAGCTACAGGGAGAAGTGGCCTACAGCCTGCTGTGGTACAACTGTGAACACTTTGTCATGTACTGCAGATACGGCACCGTCATGAGCTTCCAGACATTTCAGGTGATCTTAGAGATGATAATGTGTTTTTTTCTTATTAACAGATGCATCTTAAAGTCACATTTTGAAAATCAGTCACACAACTGCACGACTGTTGTCAGTTTGTCTTTTACAGCTGATAGAAAGCTCAACTTATTATTGTAGTTCTCCTCAGTTTATGTGGAAGCACTGAAAGCAGCTGTAATGGCACCACTTGTTCGTCTCTGGATGGGTAAATGACACAAATTCAACATTCAAGGTCCAACTCCTCAGTGGGAGGCATAGATTCAAATCCTGCTCCTGACTTTGGAAATGAAAAATGGAATTAAGAAGTTAAGCTGCTGAAATAGCAGTTGAAGCGCTTGTGATCAGGGGAAATTAGCAATTTCATTGAATTTCTTCATATTTAGCAACCAATCTGGTCAACCAGCTGTTCACCAACATCTTTAATCTCTTGGGGGTCTTTTTTTAATGTCAAGGCAATTACACAGGAGACCTGTAATCCACAATTTGGATTACCTGCATCCTCCTGGTTGGCAAATAATTGCACTTTATAAAAGCAGACAGATTGCTAACCTGCTGCTTTCAATCGGTTTCAGTCTGCAATACCAGTGTGTGACATTCTTCACTAGGGGGGCGCCACTCGACAGCATATTAGTGAATGCATTTAAACAACCATCGGACAATCTATCCTCATGTAAAAACTTCTCACCCAAACTTTGACCTTAAGGCTCAGAATCTCTGAAAGAACAGCAAACAGCTCCTCCAACAGTGAACACACATCAGATCATGCTTCTTTCCCACACTTCAGCGGCGAAGCAGTTGTTTCCTGCTGCAGATTAACACTGACCACAGATCAGACCAGCCTGCCTCTTTAATAGGGTTAAGCCTCCCTGTTGCAGCAACAGGCCCTGAGTGAAAGCTCTTTTGTTGTTGCAGCATTGTTCCGAGGCCGTCTGATTGCAGCATGCGATTAAAACCATAATCGTGAAAGGAGGCAGTGCATGAACTGGAGGAAGACAAGTGTGGCAATTAAAGTGAAATTTAAAAAGAGCAAAGCGGCTTAAAGAACGTCATTTGGATAGAAGACTTGTAAAAAAGTGAAAGTTGTCATTAAAGACAGCTGCGTGGTAGCATGGCAGTACCTTTAAGATTAGACAATTTATCGGTCAGCTGATAAACAAGCACAAAAGCATGTGTTGTGGGTGGTTTTCACTTGTTTTAGAAGTGACTGTCTACAAATGTAAAGCCATGAAAACCAGATTACTGTGCAACTACACCATCTAGTGGAAACACGGTGCTGATTTTAAACTCTGCACTGCAGTCCAAAAGAACACACTGGCCAATTTATTAGGTATACCTTGCTAGTACTGGGTTGGGCCTCATTTTGCCTTCTAGCCATCTTAATTCTTAGTGGTCCAGATTAAATAAGGTGCTGGAAACATTCCTCTGAGGTTCGGGTCCATATTGACATGATGTCATCACACAGTTGCTGCACATTTGTCAGCTGAGCATCCATGATGAGCAGTTCTACTACTTCCCAAAGGTCCCAAATAGATCCGGTGACTTTTGAGGCCATTTCAATTCAGCGAACTCATCGTCATGTTTGAGAAACCAGTTTGAGATGATTTGAGCTTTGTGGCATGTTAGGGGCAACTATTCATCAGGAAGATGGGTACAAGAAGGGATGGACATGGTCAGCAGCAATACTCAGATGGGCTGTAGGTTTAAAAAAATCCTCAGCACCATTACACCACCGGCAGCAGCCTGAACTGTTGTTACAAGGCAGGATGGATTCATGCTGTTTACAGCAAATTCTGACTCTACTATCTGAATGCTGCAGCAGAAATGGAGACTCGTCAGACCAAGAAGCATTTTTCAAATCTTCTGTTGTCCAGTGTTCTGTTTTTGGTGATCCTGTGCAAACTGTATGTTTAGTTTTCTGTTCTTAGCTGACAGGAGTGACACCCCTGGTGCAGTTATCTGCTGCTGTTGGCCTTTTACATATCTTGGTTGCATGGAGTGGTTATTTGAGTTACTGTTGCTTTGCTATCAGTCAAACCAGACACTCTCTGACCTCTGACCTCTGACATCAACCAGGCATTTTCACACGGAGTGAAAAAAAAGTCTCTGCAAAACAAGAATGTTTTGCAGAGAAAATCCCAGTTGTGTGAGAAAATCCCAGCAGATCACCAGTTTCTGAAACACCCAACAAATCAACTTAAATCATTTTAAATCATCTTTCTTCCCCATTCGGATGCTCAGCAGGTTGATCATGGCCCTAAATGCACTCAACTGCTGCCATGTGATTGGCCGATTAGATATTTTTGTCAAAGTGCAGTTAAACAGGTGTGTCTAAAGTTAGGCTTGTGACTGTGACACTGGGAAAATGCAAAACAAAATATAAACTGAACATTTGCCCCCTATACATGTCAGTGTATTTCTTTCCTCACACTATAAGATGAGCAGATTAAGGGTTTTAAATTACCATCACTATAATAGATGGTTTTGCCTTTCTTCTTCTTCTCCTCATCAGTTCTGTAAGACGATGAGGAAGCTGCTACTGAGTCAGCGTGTTGCCAAGTCAGCGGCAGTGCTGGCACTGTGTTTGGTGCTTTACCTGCAGGCTGTGAGTCTGTGCTCTGTGCTACTGGCTGTTATACTGCCTTTCCTCATCTGGATGGCCTCATGAAGAAAAACCAG